ACCTGAGACCACTGAGTCAACCACAACAATTATTATTCTTTATTAAAAAAACAAAATGTTATGAATAAGATGTTTCGCTTCTCCTACGCTAATTAAGCAAAAAATTCAAGTAGTATCATCAGAAGCTGTTTGCTAATTTTGCAAAAAGCTTATGTTTTTCTCGTTAATTGCTTCACTGTTTTTCAAACATCGCCTAATTTTAAAAAGGTTTTTTGACAGCTGTTTTTACGATGCGCCTTTGAACGAACTAAAATCTAGAACTATCTAAAATATCGGATAACTTGTAAATGCCTTCAGGAGAATATTCGATACAGATTATTTATTGTGATATTGATATAAAATCAACTTATAAAGAAAGATCAGCAGACAGATTAAATTAAAATCCGCAAACAAAAGCGTTGAATAAACAAAGTGGAAATAAAATTTACCCTAAACTTCAAAAAGTCGAGATGATAAATAAGATTATGATAACTTCATGGAAGCTTGCATCCAACCGAATCAGATTTTCCGTTGCTGCGGAAAGTGGTTATCACTACAGAAATGGGATCGATGGATTTCATTATTTTCATCGGCAACTTAACTTCCCATGACCACAACAGATATGTCCCCATTATTGCCTGTGTTAAACGGACGTGTCCACGTGTTTCTAGCTCCATAAGGATCCGAGACAATGAGAGCTGGTTCGGTCCTAATATACTACTCTACAAGTTTGCTATTTGTATTACATCTTGCTGTTTTTAAAACGTACACTGTGACACGAAGTTAAGAGGATAACAGTAGACTAAAACAGCCTTACATAACAATACAGTGCATTCGGAACCTGCGACATATAATAATAATAATAATTGTCTGTATCTATGGTAACAACCCATTATCATTGTACGATGAAAACATTCCAGTGATCTGTATTTTTTAGTCAACATTTTTTTAGCAGGGCAATAATATGTTTCTGCTAATCAGTCAGTTCTAATGACCGCTTATCCTTTCGAGTCGCCAACGCAAACGCGTCAAAGAATGTCTCCAACATTCCTGATCTTGTGCCAGCGTTTGAGCTTTGGCAGAAGATAACTCGAGTCTGAAGCAAAGACCCTTGAGAAACGTGCACAGCGGTATTCTTTGCCATGTAAATGGCCCTCAATCGATCGCTTAAGTAACTAGTAGATGTTTCGACTTCGATTCTAGAAGCACTTGCCCAAAACAACGGAGAAGCACCGTTTCGGCTATCGCAGACCAATACTTTTGGTATTTAACAGAAATCACAAAAGCACACACCATATTGAAAAGACAATTGAAGTTGTTGCTCACAAACGACCACGGTCACTGACTACTAACAAGAGCAAAAATGAATCACGCGGAAAACAATTAGTTCCGGCCGAAACGGCGGTTGCATGTTTACAGTCCGTTTAGATAAACCTACATGATTGTACAGCATTAAAGAGATTAATTGATTTCCTGCTTCCTTAATAGTTTAATTTATTTTTTACATTTAAATTAACAACCGCTTACATCGCCATACATTAAACATGAGCCAGTTATAAACAGATATATTCAAATTCAGTTGAATTAACATTTTATAAATTTCTCTCTGTGGCAGTTCATGTCATTCCAAGCATTCAGCGAGTCAGTAAAAGCGAGCGAGACAGTAAAAGAAACTAATCTAAAAAGTTCATTATGACAGACTAAGACTAATGGGTAGAGATAAATAAATTAGTATCTCCTCAATCACTTGGATATCCTATTTCTGTTTTAGGTCCCATCAATCACAGTTTGCCTAAAGAGTAAGACCTCATATATGAAAGTATCACAAATACAACCAGATATGCATCATTATCAGCATTCTTCGATCTACTGTTGGATAAGATCATCTTCGTGGCTTTGACACAGACTTATGAATTTCGAGAATGTGATTCAACACCCTTTCTGGGGTCTTCCTGTCAGCAAGACACCGCTTTTCATCTCAAGACACGATAATATGCAAATTCAATGACACTGGTACGACAAAGAAAAGCAACGAGCACCAAATGTAAAATACGCCCCAAATAATGCTGATGGTAAATTTTGGCTGTATCTCAAGGATAAAGTAATTATCTTGTGGATATACTCATTGTAACGTCATCGGCTTTGTTCCGATCGTTTCTAACTGAACTTTTGATAATGCAGTAATACCCTAGTGATCGTACTTCTATTTGATTTCTTGAGTCCTCTGTATGCTCTAAGGAAAAGGAAAGATCATCACCGATAGAAAATCTGTTACGCCACATTTATGATTAGGCCATTTTGGAGTCCTTCTTTTTATGACGTTGATAGTGCGGCTCTGATCTCCGTTTCTATGCCACCAGCTAGGAGTACCTTATGCTAAAGGCAATCAGCAGTTATGAAGCAAGCGTAGCATGTAGTCCCGTTTCCTTCAGACAGAGTGGTACTCATTTATCAAACTCGAAAGAAAAAAGAGGGATTGACCAAGACCGAGGCTTGAACTCAGGACCTATCGGTTCTGAGATCGATGTTCTACCAAACAGGCAATTTCCATCTGAAGTACTGTGTGGTAAATTTGTGAATAAGACAAAGACTGTCCTCCAGCGGAATCGAAACCGCTCCAATATCCGAAGTTCCAAGCAAACTACTTACACACTGTGCCACAGCACGCCAATAGTCATACTTCATGGGAGTAAATCGATTGTTCGCAAAAACATCCGCTGGATGGTTTGCAGATAGATTCTAATAACGCTAGTCGTCCTTCAAGCACAATCCCCAAAAAACGACGGCAAAAAGGTCGTTACTCAACTGCAGATGAAATATTTTCTTAGCATTGTTCATTGGATGCTTTCGCCGAAGACAAACTTTATTGCATTAATGAAATGCACTAGTCGAAAATACAAGCTGGCCGAAACAAATTTTAATACTTCTCATTTTCATGTAATTACTATGAAATTTCAAAACAAAAGCTAAGCATAAATGAAGCACATTACTCAGAGAGGAAACAAACCTGTTATCCTTCCCGCCCAAACACAACTCCTTTCGTATCGACAGATTCACAAGTGAAAAATTACCGTGCCGTCCAGGAAGAAAGCAGCTAATGGTACAGCCGTTATCAGTCAAACGAAGTGATCAAATAAAACTTCATTAAAGAAGATACATGATAAATAAGAAACGTATTTTAAATGCGCTAAATGCGGAAGGCAATTTTCAAACACAGCACTGTAAGTTAGATACATGTACCTGCTAATCGGCGGTTTGCAAACTCCTTATTACTTATGTATTGGGGAGACTGTTTCATCATCATCATCATCTTCATCTTCCATGGCCGCTTCTCCTTTCGAGTCGCGGAGGCAATCACGTCAGACAGAGCTTCCAACGTTTCCGATCCTGTGCCGGAGTCTCGGCTTCGTCAGAAGACAACTGGAATCTGGAACAGGTTCTTTCCATATATTTTCGCCATGTTAAACTTGACCGTCACCTGGACCTTCTACCGGTCGGTTTCGGAAGAAACAGTTCCTTACCTTTCCTTTTCGCAGGCATCAGCAACACATGCCCAAACCACAGCAGCTGTGACTTCTCAATCTGGACAAACAAAAGCCGTACACCAAGGCTTTCCCGGATATCTGTATTCCGGACAATCTCGAGACGCGTAAAGAAAACGACTCGTCCCAAAAAAGCTCACTTCAGCCGCTCGTACCGCGGTTCGAATCTTTCAGTCATGGTCCAAGATTCATGACCGTACGTAAACAAATAGATAAAAATCCACTTGAACACCGAGAGCTTAGTTTTCGGACTGAGCTCTGCTTTAGTCACAATGTATCGGGCTAGTTTACACAGAACGCCGCTGGCTACTAAAATTCACCGGTCGATTTCTTTGTCAAATTTTCCATAACCACTAAATACAACCCCGAGGAAATTCAACTTCTCCACCTGCTTTAATGCCTCCGTTAATCTGAAGATACCAGCGGGCAGAAGAACAAGAAAGCACTAGGCTTTTTGTTTTAGATGCGTTCACCGCATGCCGGTCACATCGCACTCGGCTTCGAACCTATCCAGGAAGCACTGCACATCAGTTTCTGAACATGGCAATAAAGTAACGTCGTCTGCAAAGAGCAACCTTCTTCTCTTTACATCTTTAACACCGATGCACTCATCGGTCTTGTTGCTCCCGACAATTCTATCCATGTACAACACAAACAGAGGAGGGACAGGACGCATTCTTGGCGGAGACCAGTGCCAACGTTGAGGTATATTTATTTCGACGTAGCGTCTGCTATCAGAATACAGTGATTGGATGGCCCTTAACAGATGACCATCTATTCAGCATGCTCGAAGAACATAATCACCGACTGTTGCGTGGTATAACGTCATAAGTTTTTTCTAGGTTGACAAAACAGGTTTTCTCCTGACCGGCGTGCTCTCACAATTTGTAAACAATCTGGCGTAGGACGAAGAGATGGTCAGCGGTGCTTCGACCGGGCCGGAAGACACACTGCTCTTTTTGTATCTTTAGGCCAGTTATTCCGCGGCACCGTTTTCCTATCACTTTTGAGTCGACTATATCTTGGAGGCTCAACTACTTAATGCCCCTAAAATGGATCAGTCCTTGTGGTCTTCCGTTTTAAATGAACAACAATTACCGTTCTACAGTCCCCTGTTGGCTTTCCCATGGTCATGGCAGTTACACACACACACACACTTGTATAGCAGCAAATTGTTTGTTCGCCTTATGCCTTAAGCATTTCAGAAGGCTTTTCATGAATCCAACAGCATTTCCATTTTTCAAGCATTCAAATGATTGTGCAATTTTATCTACTTAGATACTAGTATCCGTTGCCTGCTGCTCTACAGGTGAGTTTTCTTGCGGTTGCTCTGTGTTAAAGATTTCCTCAAAGTAGTTTCTCCAAAACTGAAGAATATTATCATCCTTTGAAGAGGGCGTCTAGACCTCTCCTTCAAGAATCTCAGACTGCCCCTCTTTTTACCTCAAAGAGAGCAGATGGTCTGCCAGAACACCTTGTTTGGACTCCAACACCTCACCGAACTTTTTCCATGAATCAGCTTTGCCTTTCGCAACTGCTTTCGTTGCCGCCTTTGCCTCGACATATCGCAGGTGAGAAGAAAGCTGACTGTTTTCAAGCCAACGCTGCTTTTTCTCATTAACAGCCGGTTGTTGCTCTCCTGTCCACCAGGAAGATATTTTCTGACCTCCAGGCGGCAGGTTAACTATTTTAAATCCGCAGCATTCGGCGACAGCCTCGAGTATGCCGCTCTTAAAAAGCGAACGCTCGGATTCCACATCGATGGTCATCCCTGGGATCGGTTCAAACTATCGCGCGGTATTGTTTGCCAATATCGGGTTCGTTTCGACCGAAGATTGTGTTTCCCATTTGACTCTCTTGTTGCTTCTGCCACCAGGTCTTCGTATGCACTCTATTTTTACAGGGGAGCATGCCTAGAACAAGGTAGTGGTTAGTTGGTAACTCTACGCCTCTCTTAACGACAACATTCATTACTGAGCATCCTACATCAGACGATCGAAAATCGATTTCTGTGCACAAGCTTCACGGTTCCAGGTATGCTGGTGCACCACTCTTGAATGCTGTAAGCGTGCATAATGAACAATCCGTGATTTGCGCAGAGTCGCAAGAACAACTTTAATTATATTACTAGTTTCATTTTGTCTGTGTTTCAGTAAAATTGGAAGAAGGTAAATTTACGCGGTCCAAAATCCCTGGTTGAATTAACTCTTGTGTCCGTCGCTGTTCTATCAGAATCTATTGTACGAAAAAGAGTATTATTTAGTTTCACTTCCAGATCGTTGTACAGTATTCTTGGCGCTCGTCAGCAGATGCCGCGTGAAAATTTCGTAAACAGTGTTGTGATTACTGTAAGAAAATGAGAAGTTGTATAAAAGCGCGAATATTGTTGGGCAAAGAAGGAATCTCATTTTAAGCTTTTACTGAGCAGCGTTGGGAGCATCTTTCTGATAGTTTTTTTTGGAAACTTGACCATTTGCCATTCCATACCAAGGAGTGTTTTGGATATCAGTCATTCAAACGAATTTTGGCGCCATCCACGACCAGGATGGGGCTCGAGATTCTAAGGATGACCGTCCCACCTTTGTGCCAGGTTAGTGGTGGCGAATTCGAACATCTAATCACCGTCGATCGGCACCCGAACGGCGGTGCTTCCGTTGTCATCGCCGACTTCCTCAAGCTATCCTCCGTCCTCGATGCAGAGGCGATGCAACGGTTCGCGAAGACCTTTTTCGCAGTCGTCATGGAAGAAGTCGAAGGTCGGCTCATTCATGTCATGGGGATTATTCGCGGAGCTGCGAGCTCAATGCCAGATGTCCTCGGTCATCTCGAGACCAATTACCCTACGATGAACGTTGCTTGCGGCAATCTGACAAATCCCCGAGCCGTCAGCAGCATGACTATGGCCTCTTATGCCCAGCTGGTCAGAAGGACATTCGTGGGATCGACGTACCGTTGCGGACCAATGATGTCCATTAGTTTGGTTGGTGTCAGACAGGAGGAATGTGGGTCCTATTGCAACGACTTGCTTGACATGCTAGAAGCGTAATTATTGAATTTGCATTTAATGTCATGCTTGTCTCAGTTTATTGTTCACATTCAGCTTGTGTTTTAAATACAAGCAAGTGTATGTGCGATAATTATAGTGGGTTATACAGCGGATGCATAAAAAGAAGAAACGCGAAAGACTTCAAACATTTTGTCTAGTTTGGTCTTAATTCTGTAGATGTTTTTGTGACCGATTGATAGAAAGTACATGGCATTCAATCAAAGATTATGAGTCATAAAAAATTTTTACTGAAATAAGGCAGTCTTTAAAAACTTTGGATCGAAGGAAGTTAACTGACTCTTTTAAGATTCATGTTGGGAAATTAGAGGTCATTCGACGTGTAAGGTATTTTTCATTGTCATTCGACGTATCGATTTTCCTAACAGCTGGCTCACCCATTTATAACGATTTGTGTTATAATTATTTTGACTCGTTTGCATTAGGGCAGCCTCCGGATTGTAGTGCTCAGTTTCTGTGTGCTACCTGCTTCATTCATGCTGCATGGTGGACTTCTGGTCGATGCCCGCCAATGATATCGATGGCATGTTAGCACAGTGTGTAAGAGGTCTTTTTCGAACTCGAAAGATGCAGGATTCCATTCCGCTCGAGGGCAGTCTTTGTCTTATTCAAGAATTTACCACACATTGATTCAAATCGCAGTTGCTCGATCGGTAGGAACTCAGAATTGACAAGTCCTAAGTTCAAGACCCGGTCAGGGTTACTCACCCTTCTTTTCGAGTTTGATAAATGAGTACCACTCTATAGGGAGGGAAGCAGCAAACTACCGCTACACTTGCCACTGCTTTTAAAAATATGGCACCGTTGGCTGATGGCATAGTAACCGAGATCAGTATCGTACCATCAGCTTCATTAAAATAAGGGTAAAATAATGACCCAGCGATGAAAGTGAGAGAAGATCGACATTTGAACGGTGACAAACTTTCCCTTTTTCCTCGATGTCTGCCGATCTACAGTAACCATATGAGAAATTTATGGACTAGAGTGAACGGTTTGGACCTTTGAAGCTAACCAGTTTATGTAAGAAGGTCAACCTATTTTTCTTATTCTCTGTATCTGCTGAACGCTCATTCGTTAGAAAGACTGTCTCCAGCCATAAAACAACACCACCGACCTCATAGAGGAAAGGGCACAGAAGGGTTTTGTCGAAAAGGATACTCTTGTCGTAACTCAGATATTGGATATCTTACCAAAAAAGCTGGAAGCGAGGGCGATCGTCGCATTTAACCATCATTGGACGTGGCAGTCTTTGGAGATGATGGATTCGAGCTATTTAAATTGGTTAAATTGGTTACTCTTCTACTGTTTCATCTCCATGTTTCACGGAGGACTTTGCTGTGCTGAATGGATTCCTCATAATCTCTGACTTCCAGGCGTTAAGGAAGAGGACTTTTATGCAGTGTGTTGTCTATTCACCAGGATGATATCGTCTTCGTACCACTGGTTAGGAAGATATGTGGTATCATATCTTGAACTGTTCATCCCCTTTAGAATGATAGATTCTTCTTTACCTGACTGAGCATTGTTTCTGAGGTGAATGTCGGGATGAATAGCAAAATCGAAAGCACATCCCCGTTGCATGCTTCACTGGTAATAGGGAGTCATTCGGCTGGCTCTTCTTCGGCTTACGCGGTCGTGTCACACAACATGTCTGTCAAAATAGAAACGATTCGCTAAGGTTTTCCTTGTTGCATTTTCAGATTTCCCACACGAATGATGTTCAGGTTTTTGAACAATATTCCTGAATATTTTTAGTTGGAAACATGTTGCGAAAATTTTGCAGATTCAGATTCTGATGCCTCAAAAGCGGCTTGTTGTATATAGGTCCGAGTGTAAACAATTTCTGTGCATCAGAGGCCCCGACTGACAACGGTTTCCTAACAGACTCGGCCGGCATTCCTGAAGTTTGATCACTCTCCCACGATTTTTCACAATGTTCATCAGCAGCTTTACACTTCAGCTGCGGATGACAGTTGCTGTTGTTGTTGTACCGAGATCAAGACCGAGTGCCCAGATTAATGGTCAAATGGTGTATGACGCTTTGCTTTCTTATAATGATTTGGGCAATGTTGCTTGCTGCGGCAGGTAATATTCCCCGTTAGAAGCAATTTCGAATCTAACATCTGCTTTAGTGTGCGTTGCTTGCCTTCGAAGCTTTTACGGAATTTTTGGCTTCCAACATTAGAATGGTTTTGGATAAGTTTCGATTTTTCCTCTGGAAGGTTCCTGTCAAACCGCGACATAAGCGCCGGGCCCCCGATTTCTTCAGACAGCACTCTCAGGATGGTCATCAAGATTTTTTTGTTCTTCATTGAAAATGGGGTGTTTTGAAGCTGTACACCAAGAGTGAGATGAAAGTAGGTCGTTGTAATTCTCGGAAACCGCGAGACTTCGAAAAATGTCCAGGCGTCATAAAGAAATCATTAGAATGTTTCAGCTCACAAGGATACTTCCTTCACCTTAGCAAATATTTGGAGTGTTTCATTACTCCATTAGACACGCAGAAT